TATACTCTCTACACAGGCAGCTGCCTTATAAGGCCACATAATCATCATGGAACCCAGTGATACGAATCAGTCTCAAAATACAAAGCATGTGTACCGGTGCATTTTTAATTTGATTATGTTTTAAATCTATTCCTGCAAGTATTGCTTAAAATATAAGCACATTTTAATCAACACATCTCTTGACTCTATCTGCCATGTTGAATTGTTTATTCACTCATTATAAGATTTACTTATCCACAAAGGCATGCTAGAATTTGGCCTAACCTTTGCATCGAGAGCTCACGTTTTTTGATGTAAAATAAAGTCTTGTGGAAAATCTCTTTCTAACACGCAAGGCGGCACATGTAAATAACATAAAATAATGTGAACATTTTAATTTCCTCGCTTTAATCGTTCCTCTACTTTTGCAAAAATTGTGATTAGCACCTTTACACGTTTACGCATATAAACACACACACACACATACACATATCCGATCAGACTCGCACTCCTCCCAGCTTCCAGCCTTTAATTAATGTAGCCAATGTCTTCTTCAAATCTTCACTACAGGCAAAACACTTCACACTGATATTTCGTTATATCAGTTATCGTTAACAACCCGCATATGCATTTAAAAGATACCTAATAAGGCTGTTACAGTTTTGCATAAAAACATTAAACTTGCACTTATACTGCATTTATTGCAAGTGTGCCTGTATAAAAAATTTACTTTACTAACTAAAATGTAGAACGTATTTACTTACCCTCACATTGTTCCTTACGCATATTACTTTCTTCTGTTCATACTGGACACACAAATCAAGAAATTCCAAAGAAATGTACAACTCTTTTTTTCTACAGAAAGATAGTTCATAATGTACATGACTGTCAAGCTCTATAAAAAGATTTAGTGGCATGTTTGACGTGACAGATGCATGTGTCATAATCAAACGCAACACCATATAAATCAAGTTATTTGTGAATCTATCTTTGTTGGTTGGGATAATTGTTTTACCTGGTCGATAACACAAAATGATATGGCAAATATCAGCAGTGCGCAGTGTGCATGTTACAAGGTGATCGATGACATCATCACTTTACAGTAGAATATCTACAGTATATCAGTAAAAATGGTCCCATGATGCAATATAATTAAATCTAGTGTATGATTAAAACAATGAGTGGGTCTGGTCTGGTGAGGTTTTGCTTGTTCCCATAAGAGTTTAGTATGTCTGTAAATGCAACTCCTATCGAATCATTTGTATTATCTGATTGTTATGATTGAATGTTAAAATGGCGAGAGGAAATCTGCAAACTCTTCAAGTCAACATAGGGCCCTGGAAGACACGGTAGCCAGAGCAAGAGATAAAAGGGATTTTTTTCTTATAAAGTGTAACATGGCCTCCAGCTCTAACTCCTGTTCTCAACTGCACTCAGACACACATCCATTACATTCACCATTAGAGCAGATTTTCTGAGTGAGAAGAGTGTAAACAAGAGCAGCCTGGACCACGCTAGTGATGCTAAAGTATCAGATGTTCGGGAAATCGGATACAACTAGCGTCAAGCGATGTCAAAGCATTCTGTTTGTTTTTGATATACTATTAGGGATATGTGTTCCCCTGCTGTAGAAAGAGAAAATTGTAGGTTATACAATTGATTTTAAGAAGAAATCAGAGGATTAAGAATCAACTCAACGGAGCTCCAAATCAAACTACGTGGCAGGAAGTGACAGCCCATCTTTCCTGTTTAGTAATTTAACCTGGGGTCTCTTGTCATGCGGTGGCGGTTCAGATGCTTTAATTGCAGCTTCTGTTTTGATTCTGTTTTGGCTTTGAGCAAATCCACATTGGACTGAGATTCTCTCTTGGCTATGTTCTCACTTCAGTTTACAAACACTGTCTGTATGTGTACATCAGTTCACTTGTAGAATCTCTGCCGCCATGTTCTTTCTTAGGCAGAGGGGAATAGTTCAAAACATGTGCTGACATTAGAAAGTTTGGCTCCCAGTTTAATTGATGTGTTTTATTTATTCCGGTGCTTTTCAGCAATTCAGGAAAGATTAAGGTTGTTGAAAGTGCACTTTCAGGCAACAAAATGTTGTGTTGTTAGATGTCCTAAACTATTTGTGAGGTTTAGGAAAAGTTCTCCCAGAAATGTAAATCCTGCAATCATTTACTCACCCTCATGTTGTTCCAACCGTGACTTTCTTTCTTCTTTGAATAAAAGGAGATATTTTGCAGTTTTCCTGCTGGTAAACTGCAAAATATCTCCTTTTTTTCGAACTTAATTTTTTTTTTTTTATTATTTAAAATAATATAATATAATTAATATAATATAAATCACATAATTTACAAATATACATTTTTTTCAAATATAATGCAATAAAAAAAAAAAGCATTATAATTAAAGAAGATGGTGACCACAGGCTGCCTTGCTCCAAACAAGACGAAAAAACACCATACATATATTTTAAAAGTAATCTATATTACTTGTTCACAATATTCCTAGTCTTCCTAACTAGTGTTGAACTTGTTACATCAAACTAAATATATTAAAAATAATTTTCTTTATAAAGCTGAAATAAAACATAAATATTTGGGAAAAACTTAAAATGAATAAACTTAAATTAGAAATGTTGCCTTGACACCTAACTGAAATAAAATAAGTTGAAGTTGAAGTACTAAAATTATTAAACTAAAACTGAAATAAAAAACTAAATAGAAAAATACACAAACAATTATAAATTATCAAAAAACGCACTTTTACTATACTTAATATTAAAACTGAAAGTATAAAATTAAAGCTAATTCAAAATATGAATACATACTATAATAGTATATCAATATTTCTAAAATAACTTCAAAGCCATCAAAGTAGGTAAGCTTTGTGCTCGGAACATGTAACGGTCACCAGCTGGAGTGCTCTTGAGAGCCACTAGAGGGCACTCCACACCAGACTATTATCACTCCCTCACAAACTACATTTCCCATACTCACTGCCCGGACTCATCACTGATTGCATTCACCTGTGTCTCATTACCCTGTTAGTCTCTGTCTATTTATACCATGTTCACTCATTCACTCACTGCAAAGTTTTGTATGTTCTTACACTGCATTTTCGAGCGGTTCTCCCTGGTTTCCTGTCTCCCGGTTTTTGGATTTCTTGCCTGTTCCTTGGATTATTCTTCTGCCTCTGACCCCTGCCTGTTTTGCCTGTTTTGTGTGTTTGTTCGTTTGGACTGCCTACCGGTGTATTTGACCTTTGCCTGTTTATTGGATTACGTGTCTGGATTGTCCCTATTAAAGCAGCATTTGGATCTTAACCGTCGTGTGTCTGAGCAGTTGCGTGACAGAACAGATCGAATTTCAAGAAGTTTCACATAAAATACACTGTAAATAATTTTTTTTTTTTACATTATACAGTACATTTTACAAGAAATACAATTTCTGTCTTTCTACCTCAAAATGTAACATTTAATTCAATGCGTTTCTTATTGTTTCTTTGTAATTATTTTTTTAATGGAATGGAAATTGTTCCAACGGAAATCCTACAACATCATTTTCAGTGTAGATATATGGACTACTTACAATTTATGATATAAAAAAAGCCTTTGTGCCATTAAAAAAAAAAAAAAAACTTTACAACATCCTACAACCTTATTTTCAGTGATAGCTCCTGTGTTTTCTTGTGTTAACGGAGGGAAAAAAGTAATTCAGGTTTGGAATTACAAAATGGAACTAAATGATGCCAGAATGTAGGGTGAACTATCTTTTTTGTAAATAAAATTTTGTTTAAAACTATCTATCTTTTTTTTTTAATGACAGGCTCTTTCTGTCATTCAGTGATTTTGGGATAAATTCCTGCGTGAGCCGCTGCTTTGTCCAAACACCTGGAGGGTTTGTGCATTTAAAGGAATGAAGGGACTATGTGTTCCTTCGCTTTCTGAGGGCCCTGGATCTCACTTTCTGAATACAGCACTAGTTTTATGCACTTGACACCTTCTGCTCTTATTCTCTCATATTACAGGCTATTCAGAGATGCTAGTTGGGTTTAAACAATGGAGGAAATCAATGATTTTCATCATTACAGCTAAGCACATAATCAATATATTCCAGGTCTTTACGAGAGCATTGAGTTTTGTTTTGCTCTTTATGCACCAGGAAAGAAAAAAACTAAATCATGCTCATTTAAACCATGAACATACTTTAAGAAATACTAATAATGATGATTGCCGCACCAAATTCTGTACATCACTCCTTTAAAATCATTAAAATATATACACTGTAAAAAAAAAAATGTATCATGTAAAAAGAGACTTGAGCTAAACTAAGCTCCTATTAGTTAACGTTAGTTTCTGTATTAACAAACAATGAGCAATACATGTGTTACAATATTTATAAATCTGATAATTTAATATTTAATAAACTGTTCGTTGTTCATTTCCATTTGTTAAGGTCCATTAAATAATTCAGATTCAATTTTTGATTTGAATAATGTATTACTATGTTGAAATTAAAATGAATTAATTTTAATAAATGCTTTACTTCTATTACATTACATTCATTATATATGAATTTGCTCTGACATTCATGTGCTTGGAACTTGTAATTACAATATTTCCTACTTGACTTGATACATCTTGAATTGTCCAAGCATTTGCAGGATTGAGTTCCGCTTCCCATACTAATGTGAGAGATTTGTGGAGTTATTTAGGAGTTATTAATCATGAATATTAATGGGGGAAATCTTTCAGTGTTGTTGACATGCATGGATCTGGTGGAAATGCTTGTGTTCATTGTTTTGTGTAATTAAACTTATGTTGGTTGGGTCCAGAAAAGAGTGGTCCAAACAATTGCAGACAGCTGCTGTAAATTTGGTAATCACTAATCATAATGTTTTGCATATCCATTTTTATGTAATATTACTTTTTGTATGCGTAAATATATTGAATAAGATTGACAAGACAGTGAGATCACATGGATGATAAATTCTGCATCACACATCTCTCTTTTTTTCAGAGGCGTAACGGTGTTTTGATGTCACCATACTCAGTGACTTCATCAGTAGGAGAGCGTCGATTGGTTGCATGGTTTCAGGTGGGCGGAGCCCAACGTGGAGAGCAGGACCTCTACCGATGCCTCACTCAGTCAACATATGGAGCTGCAGTGTCAAACTTTGCAGAACTAATCGTCAGAGGTATGAAAAAAAATGATTCAATGTCCTAGTGTGTCTATAAATAACTTAAAATTTGTTACATATGTCTATACCATGGAGCTGTTGAATGCTTAATTCTGATTGATGGATGTTCTAAGGTGTGCAATTATAAAGTATATTTGAGACTATGAAGACTCTGAGACTCTGACTATATGAGACCATATAGTTCGATTTAATCTCTTTTCTTCGTATGACACATTGACATTTAATGGCTCTTTCTTCAATATCCAGAACATTGTATGAGCATTCATTTCATGTGTCATTGAACAGAAGAAAGACTCTCAGGAGCCTTCTCATAACAATCCATCTACAGGCTTCCATAGACAACCTAAGAAGTCAGGGAATGTCTAGGTTTTTTTAAGTTTCATTACAAGCTGTTCACACATTGACAATGCAAATGATGACAGATATAATATGATAACAATGATGACAGAATTTACATTTTTAGGTCTACTAACCCTTTAAATTGTGCTTTTTTAAATTAAATATTTCATCAATGTCAGATTCCCCAGTAGAAGGTTCTCTACTAGAATAATGAACAATAAATTCCAGACTTTATACTTCACAAAAGAAAAGCTTTTGGCCAATGCCAATAATTACAAGATTCCAGATACCGTCCGTTTTTATCATGCTAGCAGTCAGCCATTATTCTTTGCTGTCGCCAGGTTATCTTCTTAAAGCTCAGAGCGTTCTGGAGTCTTCTGATCCCTCTGAACTTCCAATCGAACACAACACCTAAGTGTGTCTCTCTGATTTACTGTAACATCACGTCCCCACCTAGAGATCTCTTCAGCAAAAGGCTGAGTAAGTTGTAACCTCTTTGACTAGAGCACTCGAGAGTACCGGCGGGCTGATTACGGTCATAACCACCAATCAGAGACATATCTCACCCCAAAATAACAGAATTTCTGGTGCAATCAGCCATGCAAATTACCCCATGCTGCCTCTTTATGGCCCTAGTAATGATTCTGCTCCCTACAAGTGCCTCTCGTGATGGTGGCATGATTGAAAGAGTGAATGAGTCATGTTTCTACTGGAACTGAGGTAATGTCACTGAAAATCCCCTAAACAAAAGGAGTTATCGCTATTGTTGTGTTCTGTTTGGGTGGGGTGAATTGTGTACTTCAAATTGACTGTGCTTTATTATTTAACTTCCGTTATTAGCTTCTGAAGTGTGCTGTATTTACGTCACAGTATTTTATCACACACACACACAAACACACACACACAACTAAAAGAGCAACAGGCCAAATCAAATTACAGATGTGCTGCACTGCTCCATTCAGGCAATTTCCTGTCTATCAAAAGACAAACTGGCATGACGCTTTACTTACAATATGAATACTCAAATTATGATTTGCTTAACACACTTTGAACTGCAGTGTGTGTAGAGTAGGATCAGCTTTATACTGAACACAAAATTTGGCATCATTTTTATACATTTTCCAGATTTGCCAAGCCAAGATGTTCCTTCGGTTATACCTTGTATTGCGCAATATATACAGTAACAGATTCATCAAGTTCTGAACATCTCGTCCACCTCGACTGGAAGAAAAAGGGTCTATTAAAGCAACACTAAGTAGGATTGTTTACCTTCAAATAATGTTTCCAAAATCGTTTCAGTGGTTCATCAAGTCGTGACATGGTGAAATGCACTTATGCCACCGCTTTGCGGTCCTTTATCTGGTATGTCCACGCTATGTAAGATTGCCAGATCGGGTCGCGTTTCTGTAGTTCTAATGAGGACAATTCTGCTTCCAACCTGTAGGGCGACCGCAGAGGAAAAGTTCCTTGGTGTTGCTTTAAGGGTCTATTAACCCCACTTTCCAATAGGGTTAAATATGCCCAGTGGCTTTGCAATTGTGTGACTATTATCAGCTGGCAAGAGTGAGGTGCAGATACTTCTTACTCATTCTCATTGTGGAATGAATTTGAAACTCGCCAGAAACCCGTCTGGTAATAGAACTATGTGTTCAGGCATGTTTATCTGCATCTGTGCTCCCATTAACATGTTGATTCATTCCTTTATATGGAAGTCAAGGTTTCACAGTCATACTGTTACTGATAGAATCTCATACAGGGATGATGATTCATTTAAATTGAGAGATTAGAAAAACTAAGCAATCAGGAAACAAGTTTAATTCATTTGAATGTGACAGTGACACTCTCAGATATGAGTAAAAAAAAAAGAAGAAGCTGTCACCGATTGAATTAGAAATATGCTTTTAATGCATAAAAGCTGCTTCTGTCTGACCTTCCACTGAGTTTTTCTATTTGCTTCTCATTTCCTTTAACCTGAGATCATTTCATTAACACTTTCTATGACCATGCTCATAATGAAATAAATTTTTTTATATATATATATAATACGTATTTATAGGTTAAGTATTAACCACATCAAGACATATACATCATTATAATAACAGTTTATATTATTTTCATGATTACTAACGTGATGCATTTGTTTTGAAGCAAGGGTGTAGAGTTACATTCAAGCTATTTTAATGCATGAATAAATTATTTTCACAGGAAAAAACCTTTAAATAATTTTGATGATCATAGATAAGTTTTAAGGGATACAATTACTGACTGCAGGTGGTCTTTAAAGCCAACAATGAATCATTTACGCAGGTTAGGTACTTTATTTTCTCAGTATTTAAGACAACTCAACAAGGCTAATAACAACAATATAAAACAATTCACTTATTTGACATTGAAATAAATCTGTATTACTAATATTTTGTTGAAACTATAATATAACATGTCGCATTTAAAAAACAACATTTAAACAGGTAATTTTAAAATTTTGTCAGTAAACTATACTTTTATATTTTTTATGTTCATCTTTACACTTGATTTATTATTATTATTATTATTATTACAAACTCATAATTATAATAGGTTATAATAGATTCTGACTGCAAATAATCCACTTTAAGATTAAGATTTAGAAAATATCACATTTATTTTATATCTTGTGACAAAGGAGTTCAACATGCAATAAATATATCCAGCCTGTTCTCACGTAAATGCGTCTCTATAGCACGCATTGTGTATTATCATGCAATTTATACGCGAAAATGAGTTTTTACGTGCATATGATACGCAGTTTTCGCGTGCATTTGATACGCAGTTCATTTCGTCCCCTTGGAATTATAAGGTTCTATCTGACATTTTTGTCAAAATTGAGTTATTCACATATTCTTATTCTGTGACAACTTATTTACATTATGTGATGTGTTTTTTTTAAATTGTGTACATTGTGGGAGTTTTTATTGAAAAAACAAAAAGGTTCTATCTACAAAATCGAACTCTAACTTGGCTCTATAAGGTTCTATCTGCGTGAGCCAATCAGCACTTGGAATGCACAGAAGAGGACCAATCAGAATCAACTTTATATGTCATGTCGCCAACTTTTCCTTGAAGACAAAAAGAAACCCCATAAAGGCATAATGCTATACATTTACAGTAAATTAAATATTCACTAAATTGTGTAGTGTTATGAAGTGGCTTCAATTTGGCCATTTTCTTTATAGTGTATTGGTTATTATTATTAATTATCAATGAGGTTATTATTAATAACTATTATTATTATAGTTATTATTATCTGAATTATACAAATATGCAGTGAGTAAATTGAATATTTAAAAAAAACATTTAACATGCAAGTGTGTTTGTGTGCGCGAGTGTGTGAAAATGTGTGTGTGTGCGAGTGTGTGAAAGTGTGTGTCTGTGTGTGTGTGTGTGTGTGTGTGTGTGTGTGTGTGTGCGTGCGTGCGTGTGTGTGTGTGTGTGTGTGTGCGTGCGTGTGTGTGTGTGTGTGTGTGTGTGTGTATGTGTGTGTGTGTGTGTGTGTGTGTGTGAAAGTGTGTGACTGTGTGTGTGAGTGAGAGAGAGTGTGTGTGTGTGTGATTAAAAAATTAGTCTGACATTTTTTGTGATCATATAGTCAGTGAATCATTTTTCAATGATTATTAAACTTTATGAATTAATTTGCTGAAGCATGTCGATTTTCTTGTAGTTTTTAAAGTCTTAAAATGTCTTAATTTTTACAATTTTAAGCCTTAAAGGTCAAATAGTTAACAATTTCATTGATGGGGTCTTAATTACAACAATAAACGTTAGCATGTTATTTCAGCCATACTGATGTCTAGAGAGAAAGCCATTTCACCTGGCCCACTTTAGCTGGAATAAAGTCCTGCTCAGATGTATTACAGTAGCTGCTTTCTGTCTAAACAAAAGAAAGATTAAAGTAACAATTTCTGCAATAATGTGTTTAATTACCCACCAAATTGGTAACGGAAATTAAGATTCTGCACTGGACAAAATATTTAGACCTACCTTGCTTAATTTGAAATGTCCTACACAGAAGTGCTAAAAAATATGAAATAAATGTCATAGAAAGGATAAAATATTACTTTCTAACACATGTTGAGACATTGTTACAACATTAATTTTATATTTAATGTTCAAATAATGTTTTGGCAGATAGAACCTTATAATTCTAAGCGAAAAGTGTTTTTTTAGAATTAGAAGGTTCTATCTGCGTTTGACCCATTCCAAAAAAAAACATTTACAAATTTGAGAGGATTTTGATATTTTATATTTAGAATACATTTAGGGTCCCTGTTATTTTCATGTTTGAAAGAAACTTGTTCCCCATATAAATTTTCCTATATGTAATGCAAAAACTTTGAAGCTCAATATCTCAAAACTGCTCAGAACGCAGATAGAACCTTATAATTCCAAGGGGACGATTTGCGTGTAATACACACGCACCCCACACCACTAATTCTACCCAAACATATAATACACACGCACCCCACACCACTACTAAACCTACCCTAACCAACTCATGCGTATCCTATGCACGTAAAAACTCATTTTCGTGTATAAATTACACTATAAACACACTGCTTGCTATAGAGACGCATTTAGTGTGATCGGGTTGATATATCAGTTTCAAAACTTGCTCCGCAGTCAAAAAATAGCTTTTATTAAAACTAAACTGCAACAAGTATGTTCTGAAACGTGGCTCATCTAGTCACAGTAATGTAATGTAATTTGGATAGATACTATCAATCCTAAACACTAGAAATATTGTTGACATAAGAGTTAAATGTGCTAACGTCAAACCCTGTCAAACCTTGTGTTGGTTCTTTCTGTGTGGAAAGCTCTGCAGGTCCTGAAGAAGATTAGAAACAAACACCTGAAGTTTGTTTTAAACAAGATCCATTATCATTTCAGTCTGATTTCATTCTGGGTTATTTATTTATTTGTTCAAAATAAAGGGTGATTCCTGTCCAAATGCATTCTGATTCAAACTTTTTTCCTTTCTTCTCCTGTACTCTTTTGTAGTCCCGCCCACACCGATAGCTCCACCCCAGCTGCTGCGCTCTGGCCCCACATATCTGATCATCCAACTCAACACTAACTCTATAGTGGGCGATGGGCCGGTGATCCGCAGAGAGATTGTGTACAGGGCCAGTCATTCGCCATGGTCTGAAACACACGGAGTCAACTCACTAACGTATAAAGTCTGGCACCTGGAACCTGATACAGAGTATCGCATCAGTGTTCTTCTCACCCGGCCTGGAGAGGGTGGAACCGGTCCGCCAGGACCCCCGCTGGTCAGCAGAACCAAGTGTGCAGGTAAATGGAGCCATTGAGACTATGCTTGTTCAGGGTTTATATCTCAGACAGCTGATAGATTCATGTTTACTGCATTAAATCTGATGAAATGAATTTTTGCACACAAATATTCGTTGACATTTTATTTTTTTCATGACGTTTCATCCTTATTTGAAACTTTATCAACTTATTGTCGTTGTATATTTTAACACAACCGGAACACTGTATTGACCAATCAGCATCTGGACCAGAACTATACATTCTATATTTTTATTACACGGCTCTGTGGAATACTTGATTCGGATTGGTCAATAGCGCCATCCAGCTGTTTGTTATTCCAACAACCGAATAACAACAAACAACAACCGCTCAAAGCAGATAACGCAGGCTCATACGGGTCACTGAAGTCAGCAGTGCTATACGCCTGCTAGGAACTGTTTTTCTTTGTGGAAGTTTTGCGTTTGGTGAGCTAATAAAATATTAAAACTCAGTCGAATCAATATTTTGCAGTTATTTAATTATGCCATCCAGTATCGTGGACTCGCTCTCTCGTTTCATACAAATGCAGCTGCTACCGTTTTGTGACTATTGTTTTGTACAATGTTGGATTATATACAAACAGGTACGATTTTAAAACGGTTTAATCTGAAATCAATATATCTTATCCCCATAATTATTTATGTGGCGAAATGTGGTTATTTTGAGAGAACCACCGGCTGGATGTACATTATCCCTTACTGAATGCATCTACATAGTTACTTAGATGCACTGCTCAGTTGTTCCTTTATACAAAAATAATCATTATATAAAATGGCATCTTTTTTATTAGCTACTCTTTTCTTCTCACTTTAATTCATTTTTGAAAGTGAAATTAAAAGTAATAGTATTAAAATGTATTTGAGACAACTCAAGGGCAGATTTTAAGCTGTTATAACTAGCTAGTTGTTTTCATACGTAATGTTTACCCAACGCTATCTCACAACCAATTGTACGAGTGAGTACGAGGTGGCTAATTCGTACGAATTCGTACAACCTCACTCGTACGAATTTGTTCGATTTGTCCAAACCCCAGTGATGGGTAGGTTTAGGGGTGGGGTCAGGGGTAGGTCATTCGTACAAATTCATACAAATTGGGCAACTCGTAAAATATGTACGGTTTTAACGAAAATCGTACAAAATCGTACAAGTGAGGTCGTATGAATTTGTACGAATTGGCCACCTCGCAAAATACGTACGAATTGCCATGAGATCGGGTTGGTTTGCCACCTATTTAGTGACTACAATGATATTGTATCCTGAGAAAGAAAATTAGCTTTATAAATTAATTTACATAGATTAATTAATTTTCCCCTTTGAGATGAATGTCATACTTTTACATGTATTCCAGCATATAGATGTGCTCAACGATAACACAAATTTAGTAAAGCCACAAAAATTGAAAACTTTGATTTCATTTATTTCAAGTTGAAATAAGTTAATCAAAACAGAGTCAAAGTATAGTCTTGTACTGTATAATCACATTTTGGTTTTATTCTCTGATCCTCTGTTTTTTTTTTTTGGTTTAGGTAAACTTAGACCCAACTGTAGTATAAATGTACTTCTGTTACAACCTCGCTTTTGGACTTTGTAATGTATCACTGTCAAAGGTGCTCTGAGACTCTATTTATCTTGTTTGTCAGTAGCGGCAGAAGAACAGGGTTCCTAAACTTCACACTGCATACAAGTTGCTAATGTGGCAGATATCTTTATTTTTGATACCCACTGTTGATGATTGTATGTTGGAAAGTCTGTTACTGCTGTGCTTGTTTTTGTACTGTATTATTACTCGATTATTACACTAATTTGATATTTACAACTTTGAATATTTACATTGCATTATATTATGGTATATTTTCCCTCCACTCAAGAAGTTATTTTCATATGTATATTGCTAACATACATAATAAAGATGAAAAACCGCACTCTCTAGTTGCATCTCATATATATTTATTTATACCATGTCCACACAGACGCGTTTCGCCCTAAGCCATCATCAGTGAGTGTGCATAATATACATAACCTCATTATAACATATGGAGTAATGCTGAAAATATAATTGATAATATTATGTTATGTTATATTATCAGTAATTATTTTACTTATTTAATATTTTTTTTAATATATTAAATATTAGGCATTTTGAATACCTTTTTATATTATATATGCATACTTCATTGAAAGTGTTACCAAATTTTGACTACATGTATACGTTTATAATATTCTGGCTGACCCACCAGAATTTCCCTTGTGCTTTTCTGTAACTGTATCTCTCTCTGAAACAGATTCAATTTATATCAAGGTCAAATTTCAGTTCTCAGAGGATGTGACTTTGTTTGGTGTATGTGTGTGTCATATCCAGCTGTTAGGCCATTCCTCATCAGGCCTGTGGGAGTTTTAGTAGATGTGTCTCATTAATTAGTGTAATCAGGTTGATTTGTCTTGAGGACTCTGAGGGAGGGCATAGGTGGGGGTCTGTATGGTGGTCTGCGGGCATTCACAGCAGGGTTGACTGGGCATTGACTGTTTCAGCTCTGAGTGTAAACACAAAATGTCTCACGAAAACATCAGGGTCTAATTTCACCCCCCAAAAAACAAAAGAAATAAACCATGAATAAAATAAAATTTAGCCTGTAGACAAGGAAGCCTAATTTGTAAGTTTTTGCATTCAACATTATTTTCATAACAATTCCTCCTAAATTAGCATAGGTTTGAAAGGTAAAAATCACATTTTCGTTACCATAATGCATCCGGGAATTATTTTAATAGTTTGCTTACTATTTTTATATATTTTTTTGTAATTCCCATATTCTCATTACAGTAACAATTGTTTAAGTATTTATAACAAAATAAATAAAACACAGAAGAACAAATACTACCATGATGTTTACACTGATTGATTGATCGGTCGGTCGGTTGCCTTTATATAATGCATTAAAAAAGATTTTGTATTATCATTATTCCATGTAATGCACCTTAAACTGCATTATATGATCTCATGAATAATTAACAGTTATAATACAGTATTATGCTTATTAAGTATAATGAATTAAAACACATGACAAACCAACAATTTGTAAGAATGTAACAAGTAATCTCCAAATATTTAATGAATTTTAACTCTGGTTACATTTATTTCAAAATATAATGCATTATACATAAATACTTCAGTAAAGTGTTAACAGATTATGTTGCCTTAAAAATCTCAAAGTTTTCTTTAAGGAAAATATAATTTCACAATGTTTTCTTTTCTTTTTTCTTTTGGGGTGAAATATGACCTGGATATGTTCTTGACAGGACTTTCTTTTCATATCTAGGTGATTTTAGTTTTAAAATATATTTATAGTGTGTTAATTATTCATTGTGCATTTGTTGCAGAGCTACTTATCCTGCAATGCCACGTGCTGTGTCGTATTTACAGACTCACACACACAAGCACACACACACACACACACACATACAGGACTCACTGGGCTCGTCTCCTGTCTGTCTCTCTCTGGGGTAGAAATACATGTCAGACTTAGTGAGAGGGAATTAAAGTGACAGGAAATAGAGACAAGGACCCCTGCCTTCACATATGACATATGTAATTAGCTCATAGCAGCTCTAATTGGCTCTGCACTGAGAGAGAGAGAGAGAGAGAGAGAGAGAGAGAGAGAGAGAGAGAGAGAGAGAGAGAGAGAGAGAGAGAGAGAGAGAGAGAGAGAGAGAGAGAGAGAGAGAGAGAGAGAGAGAGATGGGGGGGTAGCAGAGCTATTTGAAATAATAATTTATGTGTAATGATAAATGTTTAAATTACCTAACATACTTTATTGCTCTCTCTGACTGCTTTTTAACTTTAGGTTTCATACTTGTTAGTGAGAAGGGTCAACTGTTCTTTCTCTCTGGTTCCGTCCATCTGTCAGTTCATGAATTGCTTTGTTTTCCGATGGAAAACAATTATTTTATGATTGTATAAAGACCCCATGATATCTAATTCAGAGATTTTTCTTATCATACAAGTATCCTAATATACTTAAAGCTGCAAATTTGTTCTAAACTTTTGTCAACTTAATTAAGACGTGCACAAAGATAAATTGTTTTAACCAAATTCTAAGGTAGCATCACATACTCTTAAAAAAAGTTTTTATTACTATTATTATTTACATCTATGGTCTCCATGCAATGGAAATTCACTATATTTAATTGCTAATAAACAGATCTTTTTGGCCACGTATAGACACTGCAGCTAAATCTGGTTGTCAATTCACCTTTTAGAGCTTTAAACTCTAAAAAGTCCAGTAACTGACTGACAATCGCATTGGTCCACAACCAAATTACTCCCAAAAAATACAGGTAGTTACTACTGCGTTTACAAAACAGAACCAAACTGAACAACCAGTTTAATGACGTATTTAAATGCACATTAGAGATGTGTCTCTCTTCTGTGTGAAAATCACAGGGTATGAGGTAAAGAGGTATGAGCCTTTACTCATTTGAGTTGCCAGATCTTGCTAGAAAACCAAAAACCAAACACAAGCCCATAATAAACAAAAGTAAATCCATATGCTTTATATTGAAAACAAGACCAAAATATAATGACCTGCACCTGCCACCTTTAACAACTCCAAAAACTGACCGTCTTTCTGGTAATGAAACCAGGACTTATCCAATTGTCAGGGTTCTGTCACTTCTGTCTAGTCTATCTCTTGGTTTTGTGACAGAGCCCTGACACACCTGTTTTATCTTGTCTGTGCCTTGTTTCATGTGCTTTCGTGTCTTGTGCTGTGTAGCACACAGCTTGTGTTTTACACTAGCTGTGTGCTTTCATGTTGTCATGTTTTGTGTGAACACGTGGCTTATGAGTGTTTTCATTAGCTGCGTGTTCATGTCTCGTTTTGTGTGAGCACATGGCTGGTGATTGGTTTTACTGGCCATGTGCTTGTGTTCAAGTCACGTTTGGTGTGAGCACATGGCTTGTCATGTATGTTTCCTTGTGCCATGTGCTCTCCTGTTGATTGTCTAGCCCCTCCCATCTTGTTACCTGATTATTGATTCATTTGCCCCACCTGTCCTCCCTCGTTACCTCCTTTGTTTGGTCTCCCTATTTATTCTCCCTGTGTTTGCAGTCCTGTGCTGTTTCGTTGTCGTATGTACCTGGTGTGTTTCTCCTTGTGTCAAGTCAGCCAAGTCAAGTCAGTCCAGTCATTTGTTTTCCCCTACGGGGTAGTTTTGTTTGTATTTTTGTTTTGTTATTATCATTAAAGAACCCATTATCTCTGCACCTGAGTCCTCGCTCCTTTCACCTCCACCACACCTGACAGAACGAAACAGCCATCAGAGGACTCAGCAGAGAATGGTCATCTTCTTGTTTCCATCTCCCAGCCCTTGCCCCTCCACTCGTCAGACGATGGAACGCTATGGCAAGCTCTTTTCTCTTCGCCAAGGGGGCTCCACAGTAAAAGAGTTTGCCCACCAGTTCATCATCACTGCGGAGGGGCTCGACCTTAACAACACTGCGCTTAAAGACATTTTTAACAGCAGCCTGAACGAGCCTGTCAGCGCCTGGGAGATGGAAATGTTGGGGATACTGTCTTTCTGGCAGTTTGTGGGGTTTGTATACAACCGTGGGGAAGAGGGTGGTCTTCCGCCTCTTGGCCCACCTCCCATTTACCTCACAAACTGCCAGGTCCCCAGTCCTCCGATGACCCCTTCGGAGAGAGGGAGGAGGAAGAACGGGTCCACCTCTTCTGCCACCTATCCTGAGGCGCCCGTGAATGCTGCATTTCCCCCAGAGGTGGCCGTGAATGCTGCATTTCCCCCAGAGGTGGCCGTGAATGCTGCATTTCCCCCAGAGGTGGCCGTGAATGCTGCATTTCCCCCAGAGGTGGCCGTGAATGCTGCATTTCCCCCAGAGGTGGCCGTGAATGCTGCATTTCCCCCAGAGGTGGCCGTGAATGCTGCATTTCCCCCAGAGGTGGCCGTGAATGCTGCATTTCCCCCAGAGGTGGCCGTGAATGCTGCATTTCCCCCAGAGGTGGCCGTGAATGCTGCATTTCCCCCAGAGGTGGCCGTGAATGCTGCATTTCCCCCAGAGGTGGCCGTGAATGCTGCATTTCCCCCAGAGGTGGCCGTGAATGCTGCATTTCCCCCAGAGGTGGCCGTGAATGCTGCATTTCCCCCAGAGGTGGCCGTGAATGCTGCATTTCCCCCAGAGGTGGCCGTGAATGCTGCATTTCCCCCAGAGGTGGCCGTGAATGCTGCATTTCCCCCAGAGGTGGCCGTGAATGCTGCATTTCCCCCAGAGGTGGCCGTGAATGCTGCATTTCCCCCAGAGGCAGCAATCTCCACACCATCGCCTTGCAGACGTAAGCGGAGGAAGAGAAGGAAGGCTTCCTCTGTCTTAACAAGTCTGGTGCTCCCAGAGCCGTCCACTTTCACTGTCGAGCCCCCAGTGTTGGCCGAAGAGGCTGCAGCGCCCCCAGTGTTGGCCGAAGAGGCTGCAGCGCCCCCAGTGTTGGCCGAAGAGGCTGCATCGCCGCCTCGCTCAAGGAAACAGAGAAGGAAGAAGGCTTCCTGTTTACCACAGGGCCCGGAGGTCGTTCCAAAGCCTGCTGTCAGCCCAGAGGTCGTCCCCATGGCACTTGCCCTTCCGGCGCCGCCCATGCGCCTTGCCCTTCCGGCGCCGCCCATGCGCCTTGCCCTTCCGGCGCCGCCCATGCGCCTTGCCCTTCCGGCGCCGCCCATGCGCCTTGCCCTTCCGGCGCCGCCCCAGCGCCTTGCCTTGCCGGCTCCGTCCATGCTGCCAATCAGGCTGGTTCCGCCCAAGCTCCAGGAGGCTGTCCCAGAGGCCATTTCTAGCCCGGAGGCCGTCCCAGAGTCACCCAAATGTCTTGTCCTGCCAACCCAGTCTTTGCTGCCTGACCCACCCTGGCCTTCTGCCAAGTATTCAGATCCGCCTGGTCCACCTTGGCCCTCATTCTGGAGTCCTGAACCGCCGGAGCCTGCCTGGTCCGCCCCCCTGGCACCGGCCTGGCCCTCTGCCAGGACTCCAGACCCGCCGGAGTCCCCCTGGAGCGCCCCTCCGGCAACGTCTTGGCTCTCTGCTGGGACTCCTGATCCGCTGGAGCCTGCCTGGTCTGTCCCGCCATGGCCCTCTGATGGGACTCCTGATCCGCTGGAGCCTGCCTGGTCTGTCCCGCCATGGCCCTCTGCTGGGATTCCTGGTCCGCTGGAGCCTGCCTGGTCTGTCCCGCCATGGCCCTCTAATGGGACTCCTGATCCGCTGGAGCCTGCCTGGTCTGTCCCGCAATGGCCCTCTGCTGGGACTCCTGATCCGCTGGAGCCTGCCTGGTCTGTCCCGCCATGGCCCTCTGCTGGGACTTCAGACCCGCCTGAGCCTCCCTGGCTCAACCCTCCCGTCCCTCCCTGGTCACTTATAGAGACTTCCTGGACTGTCATGCTGGCTCTGTCTTGGCTCCCCTCCCTCCCTCCCCACTTTGTCTCTGTGTTTTGATCTACCCGTCTTGTTGTCTGTTGGTGAGTTGTCATGTTCCTGTCTTTTTTTTTTTTTTTGGTGTTCCTCCTTAGGGACGCCAGGTGGCGTCCTTTAGAGGAGGGGTAGTGTCAGGGTTCTGTCACTTCTGTCTAGTCTATCTCTTGGTTTTGTGACAGAGCCCTGACACACCTGTTTTATCTTGTCTGTGCCTTGTTTCATGTGCTTTCGTGTCTTGTGCTGTGTAGCACACAGCTTGTGTTTTACACTAGCTGTGTGCTTTCATGTTGTCATGTTTTGTGTGAACACGTGGCTTATGAGTGTTTTCATTAGCTGCGTGTTCATGTCTCGTTTTGTGTGAGCACATGGCTGGTGATTGGTTTTACTGGCCATGTGCTTGTGTTCAAGTCACGTTTGGTGTGAGCACATGGCTTGTCATGTATGTTTCCTTGTGCCATGTGCTCTCCTGTTGATTGTCTAGCCCCTCCCATCTTGTTACCTGATTATTGATTCATTTGCCCCACCTGTCCTCCCTCGTTACCTCCTTTGTTTGGTCTCCCTATTTATTCTCCCTGTGTTTGCAGTCCTGTGCTGTTTCGTTGTCGTATGTACCTGGTGTGTTTCTCCTTGAGTCAAGTCAGCCAAGTCAAGTCAGTCCAGTCATTTGTTTTCCCCTACGGGGTAGTTTTGTTTGTATTTTTGTTTTGTTATTATCATTAAAGAACCCATTATCTCTGCACCTGAGTCCTTGCTCCTTTCACCTCCACCACACCTGACACCAATTATATCATTTGCTTAAATCCCACTCCTGCAAGCTCAAGTTAATCTACCTTTACCTTTGAGTGCAATGCCCACATCTGAACATCCAATCAACAGCTGAAAAATAGAACCAAGTTTCATTTCTCATTTTTTGATAATCCGTTACAATTGGATGTACGTCACAATACGGAAGAAAAAGATCTGTCGTTACATTACATTTCCATTGCACAAAAGGATCTTGTAAAAATATATATTATTTCATTATTAAAAACAAGGTATTTTCAGAACTGTACAGAACTTTTTCTAATGTTCTTCTTGGAGAAGGCAATCTCATAATGCACTGTGACAAGCTCAGTGAAAAAAATAAATAATAATCCAAGATGTTGGACAAGGCAGGAAAAACTATGATTATAGTGAAAACACATTTTTCATTCAATACTGAAAGGTATTTAAAGGGGTCATATAATGGTACATGCACTTTTTTAAGTTGATTGTACTGAAATGTGTGGCAGTGCCTGTACACAACCATCATATAATGATAAAAATCCATCCAGTGGTTTTGTTTTAATCTCCTTATATGTTTTCCCCTGCCTCAAATCGAGCCGTTCGACCGTGTGACGCCCCTCCCGCGATTGTTGATTGATAGGCGCGTTTCAACACAGACCCGCCCTCGCTCGTGAGAGCTGTCAATCATAGTCTGCGCGGACCGGCGCGGTCATTGTTGATATGCTGGAGCACTGTCTATGAGCAGAATGGCGTCTAAGCGATTGTGGTGTTCTGTTCTTGGGTGTAATAACGAACACAGCAGTCATTTTAATGTTCCTAAATCCGAACCGCTGAAGACGCAGTGGTTGATTTTGTTTTCGAAGGGAATATTCCCCACGACCAACGTCAATGCTCTCATGTTTGCGCGAATAATTTCTCACCAGACTGCTTTATAAATGAGGATCAGTATAAAGCTGGTTTTGCTAAGCAGCTGCTCCTGAATAAAGAATCGGTACCAGATATTCGTGTTCCTGCTGAACCTCTAGAACAACTGAAGTGAGTGTAACGTTTTATTAAACTTTATATTAATATTTATATCTTTGCAAATCGCTTCACGATGAATGAGTCTACGGTTTACACTCAGGGTACATTACTGCATGTTTTCTATGTACGACGTTCTCCATATAATTCATAATCCCACGTTTATAATGAACAACACGTTATGGTATTGTGTTACAAACGTGTACGCATAGAACAGAGAGGCGGAGTCAGCAAAGCTCATGATCATTTAAAGTCATATACACTGAAACGGCGTGCTGAAAACAGAGCTGTTTTTGACCAGGTAAAATAAGTGTTTTCTTACAATACTAATGAGAATTTTTAATTAAAGTATATTACAAACTTTTAATTTAGACCCTAAAGAATCATATTAGCTTGTACAAAAATGGCATTATATGACCCCTTTAAAACATTTATGTTTGGTGTAGTAGTTATTATATGTATTATGTTATGTTTGTTTTATAGCTTTAGAGTAAGCGTGTCATTAGCTTAGCAACATGTAACAACAAACTCAAATTCGAGTGAAAATGTGAAATGTACGTAATTGTGTGCATAATTCAGTTCCTCTTTTGTCTCATCCAGAGCCCATGCGTCCCCTCAAAGGTTTGACGGCTTCAGAGATTCAGTCCCGTCAGCTGCTCCTGCAGTGGGAGCCGGTGGGATACAACCTGACGCGCTGTCATACGTACTCCCTGTCGCTGTGCTACCGCTACTCCACTGCTACTGGGGGCGGAGCTGGCGGAAATAACGCCACGGTGAGGGAGTGTCTGTCGGTGGAGGGGAACACCTCCCGCTTCACACTTCGGGATTTACCACCATTCCATGCCGTTCATGTGAGGCTGGCTCTGGCCAATCCAGAGGGCAAGAAAGAGAGCCGAGAAGTGACCTTTCAGACGGAGGAAGACAGTGAGTACTTTTTTTTTTCTTTTTTTTTTTCTGTATCCATGAAATCCAAATTTGGTAATACTTAATAATAGGTATACAGTAATAAAGTACTTACAAATCATTTGCAAACCATTAGTTTATAGTTAATTCATAGTTAATATATCGTAGTCTCTACATATATTAACCGGCTATATAAATATTGAGTTCTTCATTTATTATCACTGTAAATAACAAAATTATTAGTGTTTAATTAGCTGATGTAAAGATTTAGATAATGTTTTTTTTTTTTTTTTTACTTATTTATTGTAAATAGTTCTCACTTTAGACTAGGTCACAGGACATAATATATTAACCATGTAGAGACTACTATATGTAAACTATTAATAAACTATAAACTAATAGTTTGTTAATGATTTGTAAGTACTTTATTACTATACTTATTATAATGTGTTACCCACAAATCTTTTTTTATACCATGAAATCAAAATTCATATTTTTGTGATTTTTGTGATATTTTTCATATTTCATATTCATAATTCCTCCCATCCAGCAATATGTCACTCACATAGCATAGCAATAGCAAACAACAACAAACCCACCAACTATCCAAACCATTACCATTGAACAAAATCAAGCCACACCCTACATTTTTTTTCTCTAAAGCATGATGCAAATGAAGCATGCCCTCGGTGTCACTATTAAGAAACAAAAGTCACTATATTGACAAACACTATTTTTAAGAATTCTTCATTGAGGACATATATGAGTGGATAAATAGTATTTTATTCTGCTGAAAGTCACAAAATGAAAAAACAATGTGGTAGTAAAAATAGACCTAAATGAACAAAAGCCTTTAAAATGACTTAAAATACATATAATAACAATGAGTCATTAATAATTAGTTCAAATAAAGTATCAAAAGCAAGTAATCATATGGTTTTATTGAACAACACTATTAAAATGCATAATGTGTAATATAAACAATCAACTTACATTATGTATTATAAAGGCCTGGTGATTGTTGTTGTTACACTTTACAGCATGATCAAATCCTTGTTTAGTATTGGCCAAACAACATTTAACCCTTTCACACGTAAGTTTAAAATATTCGAACTGATCCCCCAGCGTGAGTTTTTCTAGGCGACCGTTATTTAGAACCTGTCACTTTAATGTTTCCATGGTGACGCGTCATTGCTTGTCACGTGACACAGCGCAACCACAACACAGCGCTGAATGAATGATGATCTGCTTTTATGACATTTTTCCTTTTTTTATTCAAAATAAAAACAAATGTATTAGCTATAACATGAAACACTGCTATTTCGATTGTCAAATATGTGCAAGTGGATGTGTTTTGTTGTTTAAACACCTTTATAACGATCGCGTTAGTTGAGCTGTATGTGCGATGGGCGGCGCCATGTTAGTTTACAACATGTCAATTCCTCAACTTCTCACGAAATACATGACAGTAAGTGGCCGGTGAACTGGGAGAAGAATAGGGTCAAATGTAAAGTTACTTACACAATGTGTATCTGATATGAATAAAACGTGTCGTCTTTTTATAATGGAAAAGATTATTATTGCCGCTTCCATAGACATCAGTGTGTATTTTACAAACTCAAAATCATTTTTTAGCTAGTACTTATGTGTATTTAAATGTCTGAAACCTAAACTAAACATTATGTGGTTGAAAATACTCAATAGTTGTGATATATGACAGCACTGAGTGCGTCCGTCTCTGGCTCAGCGCCAGCCAACGCGCGAAAGCACGTTTGAATTTAGCATCACGTGATGCACTGACCGTTCTAATCACACCGGTGTGATCGTACGCTCCAGGGACCAGCCAAGACTGATCACACCGGTGTGATCGTACGTGTGAAAGGGTTAATTCATAATGACCTCTTAATCTTTAATATTTGGCAACATCTTAAAGATATAAATGCTAGATAGAAAAATAGAAACATGTGAATATCAAAACTTGCAAACTCAGAGCGAGGGTACACACTTTTATTTTGGAATCACCATGAGCAACAATTCACAAATTTAGAAACATAGTGATGTATTCTCCTGTGTTGGCGTAGGTTTATAAATCATTATGTTACAAATCTGGTGAAATGACGCACATTGTGCTCAGAGATGAACGTTATAAGAAACCCAAACTCACAGCATATGCAGAGCTGCTGAGAAGCGCTCCATGCATATTAATTAATAACAGTGCAACAGCATAAATGTATTTAATTTGTCACAGCCCGGCTCAGAGGTTGTGACAAAGAAGCGGGACGCAAAACCTCAATCAAGAGATGACCAATTTATTTACCAAACAAAAAACACAATTAAACACAAAATGCCGGCAACAAGGTCAAGGTCAAGGTCAAGTTTATTTATATAGCACGTTTACAAACAGACACTGCTGCCCCAAAGTGCTGTACAGATACAGAGAAAACAACATAAAATAACCATACAATACAACATAATAAAAGCGACACGAAAAAAGATTACACAACTCAGCTTGTATTAAAAAGCAAGTGCAAAAAGATGAGTTTTTAAAAGTGATTTAAAACTCTCCATAGAGGTAGCTGCTCTAATATTGAAAGGAAGAGCGTTCCAGAGCTTAGGACCTGCAACACAAAATGCTCTGTCCCCTCTGGTTTTCAGTCTGGACCTTGGACAGTTTAAAAGCAGCTGGTCAGTGGACCTAAGTGCTCTGACTGGCGTGTGCAGAGTCAACATGTCGGATAAATATGATGGAGCCAACCCATTTAGAGATTTAAAAACAAACAATAAGATCTTAAAATTGATTCTAAAAATAACAGGCAGCCAGTGGAGAGATGACAGTACCGGGGTGATGTGGTCTCTGCGCCTTATCCCTGTCATCAGGCGTGCAGCCGCATTTTGAACTAGTTGTAATCGGCGAACTGAAGACTGATCAAGGCCATAGTACAATGAGTTACAATAGTCCAGGCGATTTGTTATCAGGGCATGCACAACTTTTTCCAGTTGGTTGTGGGGCAGGTAGGGCTTGACCTTCCCTAGAAGTCTAAGCTGAAAGAAGCTTGTTTTAACCACTGAGCTGATTTGTTTATCGAGTTTAAAAGAACTGTCAATAAAAACACCAAGACTTTTTACTGACGGGCAGCAATTTGGCAGCATTTGTTCAAGAGTACTGTTAAAACCAGAGACATCGGGCTCCCCAAAAATTACAAGTTCAGTTTTTTTGTCATTTAGGTTTAAAAAATTCAATGACATCCAGTCTTTAACTTCTTGTAAACATTTTTTCAGAGCTTCAACAGAGTTTGTTTTGATATTCAAAGGTAGATATATTTGGATGTCATCTGCGAAACAATGAAAGGAAATATTGTGTTTTTGGAAGATTGATCCCAGGGGCAGCATATACAGAGAGAACAAGACTGGGCCTAAAATTGAGCCTTGAGGCACCCCGCTGTCAATTGGGGCTTTGTCTGAATAAAAAAAAAAAAAAAAAAATTAAAAAAAAATAAAGAGATTTGCATACTTTTGCATACTTGCATACTTTTGCATACTTTGCATACTTTTTGTTTTGTTGCAAAGAGATTTGCAACAAAACAAAACATGTAAAGGGAAAAGCACGCAGGAGGGAGAACCCCTCGCTCGTTCCTCCTGAAGGCAGGGAGCCGGAAGCTTTTATCAGGAAGAGAAACTCCCACCGCAGGTGTCCTCCATCCGCGCTCAGGATTGAAGCCCCGCCCCACTGAAACACAGACATAACACAAACAAGTATGCAGGCCATCACACTCCCCCCCATAAAAAGGGGAACCCCAGAAGGAAACCCGACAACAATAAATATTACTCCCACTTAAACTCAAAACAATTATCCCACCCCCTACCAACATTCAAGGATAAATAAATGAATACTTAACTAGCCATTACTATTCCAATCATCCGCATCTTTCAGTCCCACTTCTGGTTCAGCAGTCGATATACCTAAAAGGCAATTTAAAGAATCCAGAAGAGGCAAACGACTATAAGTACCAAACAATTACCCTAGCGGCGCCCTAGACAGCGCATCCGCAATTATATTGTCCACTCCCTTCACATAGCGAACGTCCAAACAATAGGACTGCAAAAACAATGACCATCGAATCAATCTTTGGTTCGGACACTGTAAAGAATTTAAGAAAGTCAACGGATTATGATCGGTAAAGACCACCACAGGAGCACTACCACTAACATAAACATCAAAATGTTTTAGAGCCAAAATCAGACCAAGCGTCTCCTTTTCGATCACAGAATAATTCCCCTGGTAACGATTAAATTTCTTTGAAAAGAAACTAACCGGCCTCTCAATACCACAGTCATCCTCTTGCATGAGGACAGCCCCAGCCCCTACCTGGCTTGCATCCACATACAATTTAAACGATCTGTCCAAACGTGGCGCCGCTAACACTGGAGCGGTACATAAGAGCGTTTTGACATGTTGGAAGGCACTTTGACAAATAGAGGACCAGAAAAAGTTGACTTTATCCCTCAACAAATCAGTGAGAGGTGCTACAACGCTAGAAAAGTTTCTACAGAATGCTCTGTAATAACCTACCAGCCCCAGAAAACGCATCAGCTCTTTTTTAGTTGTTGGAACTGGAAACTGCTCCACCGCCTGAATTTTTGCATTCACCGGACGCACCTGCCCCTGCCCAACTACTCGGCCAAGATAAGTCACGGTCGCCCTCGCAAACTCACACTTTGCGAGATTGACCGTGAGCTTTGCCTCCGCCAAACGAGTAAACAATTCCCGCATACGTTCCAAGTGACTATTCCAGGTGTTTGAATAAATGACTACATCGTCAAGATATACAGCGCAACCCTGCATGTCACCTACAACGTGATTCATGAGACGCTGAAAGGTCGCAGGTGAATTACGAAGCCCAAACGGCATTACCTTATACGAATATAAGCCCTTTGGGGTAATAAACGCAGCAATCTCACGAGCACGTCTAGACAAGGGCACCTGCCAGTAGCCTTTAAGGAGATCAAACTTACTGACAAAT